CGGGTGAGTAATACAGTGAATAAAGCAAGCGTCTCTCTCTGTGTTGCTTTTCTCCAGGGATTTTAGATTAAACTTACTGCGTGATTCTTACTTCAAATATGGTGTGAGGTGTTAACCCATGTACAGTGGTGGAAAAAGAAAAAGAAAACAAAGAAATGGATTCAAAAAATGTCTTTCAGCACAGCATTTGGCAGCACACTTGGGACTCGATTTGCATATGTATGACCATGCGGCCTCTCAGCGACTCTGGAAACAGCAGGAACTGAGGGACATGAGTAAACTCTGGACAGGCTCTCTTTATTCAGATGCTAAATATCTTTTTACATTTTCAGGGCAGCCTCTCTTCAACCCTTCTCTGCAAACAAATGAGGACGAAGGGCTCAGCTAGAAAGCTTGCTTAGTCTAAATTATCATTTTTTCCTCTGTAGCGTGCTGATCAGCTTAGCTTTACAATCTAACAAAAAAAGTTTGGGGAATAAGAATGTGGCCAGTTAGTACTGGAGGAGAAAACAATATTAGGGTAAACAACCTTATTTCTAAACATCAATTTCAAGAGGTATTGGGATTTTTAAGAAAGGTTTATTTTAGATATCAAGTCTTTCCCTGTTTGTAATGCTCTTGCATTTACTTTCTGAGAAGTGGAGTTTTGAATTAGTTGAATATGCAGAGTTTGGCAGCATTTTGTAACACTTGGTGAGGGAAGTCACGCTATTAAAATGTTCTGGTTTGGTAATGTGACCTAGAATTATATTGAGAATATATTTTGAATTTTTCCACTGACACAACATGTGTAGATATTCAAGTTTGGTTCTTTATCCCTATTAAAATAATGAACCTGACGACACTTGGCTTTCTTCTGACACCTCCATCTAGAATGGGGATAATGGCTGTAGGTCAGCACCATCCTTATTTAACCTTTTCTCAATTAGGGCTGGGAATTTATAAGATTTTCACGATTCCGATTCCCTTATCGATTCTGTGCAACGATTTGATTCCTGATCAATTCTCTTATCGATTCTGTTAACAATGAATTTGGTAAGTGCATGGTGACATTCGTCTACCTTCCCCTGGGACATTCTATTTCTGCCTGCCTCTGCGAAAACAGAAGGCAGTGAACCGGAGTTGCCAGCCTCTGAGCCAGCCAGGCTACCCGTCTCGTCTCAGTCATCTAAATGTAATGGAGAAGGCATAGGTTTAATGAAAAAGTATTACTGTACAATTTTACGGAAATAATCTCATCTCCCCCTGATCTAAATAAACAAGCTTCACATTTCTCTCGCTGCCTGAACTGCAGAGCAACTTCATAGCATGTTTAATATCCCCAGAGAGAGGTAGGAAACTGGTTTATTTCCAGAAATGGCGTATGATTTACTAGGAACCACATTAAGCGCAGCCAGTGATATGAAACTAGCTACTTTCCACCAGAGTTGACTTTAGCTTCTATCCATCAAAAACACGGCATTCGTTAAAATGTATGCCATGTTGTGTGAGCAGGTGTTTCTGCATATTTGATGCATTTCCTCCCACGGATGTAATCGCCACTTTACAATGATTGCAAAGCGGCTTGTTGCCATCTCTCTCTTCCTTAAAATTTAGCCAAACTTTATGTCGCTTTACCCGATGGGGCTCCATTTTTTAGTTTTGCTTTTCTAGACGTACGCCTGGTCACGTCATACTTGCTTACTGAATGCTGTTTGTGTGACTTGTGGAAAAATGTGACGCAAATCGTCCTGCCCAGCACTAGGCTCTGGTGCTGCCTGGAACCGTTAAGAGTATCATTAAGCAAGCTACCAAACGGTCCCATGGAATTGGAACAAACGAAACCGGTTCTGAACAGAGACCGGTTTTCGATTCCCATCCCTTTTCTCAATGCTAAAAAACAGGGCTGTCCTTCTCCAATATTAATATCTAATATCAGTCTATTAGCTTCTAAAAAGGTATTTTGATTTTAGGTGGTATTTCTACTTTATAGTTTTTAAAGAAGCATCTGTATGGGCATTTAAAGGTGATACAAAAGGGAATTTCAAGAATCAGCTGTAAATATCAGATTGGTTAATCTCTTCAGAGCATTTTAAGTGTGAAGTGACGGTTGTGAGTTGAAGGGGATTCCTGATCCTCTGACTTCTGACTATCGATGTTTTTTTCCTGGTTTAGACTCTTTGTATGTATTTCATGCTGCTCTGCAGGAAGTGGGGTTGAGTTCTTTTTGAGTGTAACTTCACAGGAAGTGTGTCGGAGCACAGAAGCGTTGTAAAACTGTGGGTGGTCTCTGGCTCCTCACCAGATTAAAAACCTGCTTCATTACTCGTCTGCTATCCATTTACGCTCTTGTGGCATCATCACAGACCTTTGGTTATTCTGAACAATGAATGATGTAATAATGTGCACTGTAGTAGATTCATTAGACGTCACTGAGGGTTTTTAGTGAAGCAGCTGACAGGCTGTGAGTGAGGGGACATTTGAGACAAGAACGATATTTTATATTTTTAAACTCTGGTTTTAATATTGAACTGGTCGGCTATACTGAAAATGAAATTCAACCTAAAATGAAATGCTAGATTTAGTCAATGTTTTTACTGAATCTGTACAACTTATACCACAAGGGAATGAGACAAATGGGACAAGGTTTTCAATTCCTTTTTTGTTTCTCACTGAGACAAACAAATAATAAATCTAATATGAATCAAGTATTAAAGTCTTTATTTGTAGAGCTAAAAAGCTTAAAAAAGTCAAGTACTTTTTTGCTTCTCTTTGACTTATTTAGTCTGAAGAAAAAGGGCTATTGAAAATAATTTTTAGAATCTATTTCTACAAATTTTTAGCTCTACTTCCTATTGGAGCTAATACATGTTTGTGGCATAATTCTCAGATTGAGAACATGTTAGAACATGTATTCTGTTGAGGACGCTTTATCCATATGTAACCAGATTTTTGGACCTTAAACCTGTTGGGTTTGTTCTTGTAGATTATTTTTTTCCAATCCACTCAAATTGACTCTGAGCTCTGAGAACATCTTTATGGATCTTTGCTTTTCTTTGCGTGATAGAAATAACTCATATAGACTTCCTCCGCTTTGCTCCTGCATCCCGCTCTTATACCTCTTAATGTTTCCCAATCAGCAGACTTTGCTATTTGAGTCCAAGGTCTTGCTTTTTTCTGGGGTTTTAAAATATTTTGATTCTTCCTGATGTCTTTTATATCCTTTTGTTATATAGATAAAACGGTGTTACCCAGGAATATGTCGTTTGAATTGGATCACAATGTTTGGGGTGAAGTAGCTTTGTTTTAAAGCCAATTGAAAGATTGACACTTTGATCCCTTGCAGCACCACATGTCAGAGCGTCCTTTGGTCTGAACGCAAATACACCATATTGACCTCTAAATATTGATCGCAGATAAAAACTCTTCATTTGCTCTCTCTAATCATAAAGTTTATTCCTGCAATCGTACAGAATTGAAGGTTTTTAGGATTGGATTGTGAAAACCTAGTAAAGATGCCCTTTAGTCAGATATTTCCACAGTTTTGAGTTTGTCTGTTTCCCATGTTTCTTACATTTATTAGTGGTAGGGATCCAGCTGCCTGTTGGTTGCTAATGTTGTGTCTGCGTTGTGCGACTGGCCTAGTTTCATCTGTGTGGGTTGTTTGGATATGAACGCATCAAAGACATTAAAGTAAATCCTCAAGACTCTCGGTCTGTCTCTTGAACATCTTTATTAAAGAGCCTAATATAAAACTCAGTTTGCTGCTCATTGGCAATGTTTTGATGGGATCATTTGCAGCTTAGACTGCACTTCTAAACTTGATTCCCCGATGACACTTTTATTGATTTTCTTTTAAAATTCATCTATTATTCCAAAGTGTTTTGTATTTCTGACCATTGTCAAACAGAAGAGGATAATATCACTGAGGAAACTGATCATTTCTTTGCTGTGTGAAAGCTATTGTTTAACATATTTAATTAATAACAACTTCCTCTGCCTTGTGGGGAAAGTTCTTGTTTCTTGTCGGTAACATCAAAGCCAGAGAACAGCTATATGTCAGCGGCGGCGTTGAGGAGCCAGAAATGCTTTAGAAACCTGCATCCCTGGACTTTGTGTGCTGCATGACAGTGATCTTGTGCAGGCAGATATTTGTCCGTTATTACTCTGCAAATGTAATGCATGACAAGGATTGCAAGTAGCATTGCTTGCAAAGAGTACAAAGGCTCCTCTTTGTGTGAAATGTTAGATAAGCTGGTATAGCCACAAGGCTGAGAGGAAAGTGCAGGCATTCACCATTACCCATCCTCTAACCACCCGCTGATGAGATCCACATTTTAGAGACTTGACTCTTATCTGGAATCTGTATCACATGAACAGAATAAATATTAATACTTTACCATTGAACACCCTGGAATTTCCTCCTAAAATTTAGATACTTGAAAACTCAGAAAAGCCAACCCAATAGGCTAGAATAACAGATTTTGATGCAATTCATTTAAAAATGGGGGGGGGGGGACAATGTTGGCCTTACTCTGTGGCTTATACACTGTTTAAAGGTGTATAGAAAAATGCATGTTTGTGATATCATGGAGGCGAACAGCCCGGGGGTTCAGTAAAGCCTGGGTTTCTGTTACAATGACTTTCTAAACATGGCTGGGTGAATATGGAGAGATTTAATTCACTGCAGTTTAGCTGGCTCAGGTTTGCTTTCAGCTCTAAAGATATATATATATATTTTTCAGTTATTCCAGTCTAACGAAGCCTCTAGTTCAACTGGTTCCCTTCCTTTGTGTTGAGACGGGAGCTTTAGAGCGGGCTGCAGCACGCTGGTCACCCTGCATCTGTAGGAGGAGCCTTTAGAACTCAGAACCTACTTTGTGTGTTTGTGTATTTCTCAGAGTAAAGCTCTAAAATAGACCCGTAAGGATGTTTGATGCCTAAACTTGAGAAGTGATGCGCCACCCAACAAGAACCAGGTCTTTACTTATCCCATTTGTTTTGTTTTATTTGTTGTGTAGCTTTATGCCAGTATATAGAGGATACTAAATTCAGAGATGGGGCCAGAGGAAAATTGGCGAGGTCAAACGAAGGTAACCGTTTCCACCACACACACTGCTTTTTTCCTCCCTCCCGACCTAAGCTTAGCTTTGACCCCCAATCCCTAACCTTCAACCTGATGCACCTTGTCTACCCCCCCAACCCCAACTTTTGCATCCCCTCCTCTTTTTTTTTTTTCTTTTGAAACCCAAAAGTCTGGGGAGAATATTTTTTTTGCCCTTCCTGTTTCGTGCACCCCTAACTTCTCTCCTCCTGGTTTTCGTGAAGCTCCTCCCCTCCAGTAGCAGCTGAACAGGGAGCTGATCCCTGACAATCACCGCTTCTGTATCTCGCACACACATCCAGTGTCGCCTGCACTGGCATCGCTTGGTCAATGTCCTACCCCTCTCCTTTACACTCTGAATGACTTTCTCAGTCCTGCCTTTGGTGTGTGCATCACTTCTGCTTTACTCTGGGTCTAAATCAACTCAACTTGTGCTTCTCTGACTGATTTCTCCCTCTGTACTGCCATTAAAGCTGTCGTGAAGCATTTTCATCCACAAAGTTTTACCTGGAGCTGTTGATTTGTTGACTTTTTTTTGGGAGGAGGGGGGCACAGGATGCAGATGGCAGCTTTACATGATGCAATACAAACTTCCTCTAAAAAGAAACGTGCTGATTTTATTTTTCTCTTTTATTTCCCTTGGCGATGCGCCTGGCACTCGTAGCTTGCTTTTGATCAAATTTCATCTTTTCTAAGTAACTGCTTTGTCTGATTAAATAACTCAGTCTATACTTGTCTTTTTTTTCTTTTTCTTTTTTGTATTTTTCTGTGCTGTTTTGACTTCCAGGTGAGAATTTTGAGCAGAGTCCATTACGGAGAACTTTTAAATCCAAAGTCCTAGCACATTATCCTGACAATGTGGAGTGGAATCCATTTGACCAGGATGCAGTTGGCATGGTAAGATTCTTTGTGTTTGACAAAAGTTATTCATTCATTCTAAGGTGCTTTGTTTAGATTATAATCCCCGATTTCCTCTCCGTACCTCCTCCTGCAGCTCTGCATGCCGAAGGGTCTGTCGTTTAGGACGCAGACAGACTCCAGAGAGCCTCAGTTCCACTCCTTCATCATCACCAGAGAGGACGGCTCTCGGACCTATGGCTTCGCCCTCACTTTCTTTGAGGAGGTGACCAGCAAGCAAATATGCAGCGCCATGCAGACTCTTTACCACATGCACAACGCGGAGCAGTACGACATCTTGCACACCCCCACCTCCCCAAAAGGACCAGAGAAGCAGGGGCTCCCCCAGACCCGTCCTGTGCTCCACGCCGCTCCGGCAATCTCCCGCCTGCAGCGCTTCAACTCGTATGACATCAGCCGAGACACTCTGTACGTGTCCAAATGCATCTGCCTGATAACGCCCATGGCTTTTGCTCAGGCCTGCCGGAAGGTCCTGGAGCAGCTTCACCAGGCCGTCTCGTCCCCCTTACCCCCGCCACTGCCACTGGAGAGCTACATCTACAACATCCTGTACGAGGTGCCTCTGCCACCTTCAGGGCGCTCGCTCAAGTTCTCGGGCGTCTACGGCCCCATCGTGTGCCAGAGGCCGAGCACTTCCGAGCTCCCACTCTTTGACTTCGCCATCAGTGAAATGTTTAACTTGCTCGGGGTGGAGAACGTTCTGCAGCTGTTTACATGCGCCCTGCTGGAGCTGCAGATCCTGCTCTACTCGCAGCGTAAGTAGGCCTCTTCTGCTGCTCCACATTCATGCACACAATGGCTGAAGTGATAAATGTACAGACTAAAAGTAAACAATTAATTGATGGGACGATGTAGAACTAGATTCCCAGAGGGATTCCCCAGCCAATCAGACTGTTAAATATTTGATTTATCAAAATGGGAGTGAGTTGAAGGTGATTTTTTTTTTTTTGCAGGTGGTTTTAGATTATCTTGCCATCAGATTATTACCTAGAGATTCTTCTGTAAGGGGCCTTTGTTGTGTTAAAAGCCTGAGGCAGGCATGAGAGAGAGCTGAAGCGGATGGCTTGAGTGCAGGTGTAGGTTTCTGTGGCTGATGGACTGCTTTGCATGATCATCTTTCAGAATATTAACCTCTCTAAGCAGACCAGCTCATCTTTGACAAGCTTAGAAAAGTTGCCCTTTTAAAGGAATTGTTAATTATATGATTTAAAGCTCCAATATAGCATTGTTTTTGTTTTTGCTTTAATATTTCCATAGGAAACTGGCCAAGGTTCTGCTTGTAGTATGCATTAAAATAATTCTGGATTTTCTAATCATCCCTGTATCTAATATTCATCAACACTGTAACTGTTGTGTTGTATAATATGCCGAGGCTGCATGTTTTTAAAGAGACTTTGGAGGAATAAGCAGATTGCTAAGGGATGCCGGATCTGGTGGTTCGACCAGATCCATTACAATGCAGAGAGGGAGAGAGGCGAATGATTGACAAAACGGCGGGGGCCAGCAGGGAGAAGCTTTTAAGTTGGAAAGCTGTAGTGTTGCCAGGCAACCTGGAGACGGGGGAGGATGGCGATGATGCGGGATGATTATTATTGGTCGGGAGTGACATCATACCTCTCTGCGAGGCTCATCACTGCAGAACATGTGAAGGGTGCTGAGCAGAGCTGATGCCTGGGGATCTTCCGGCCAGAAGAAAATTGGCTGCTCACTTGAATAAATACTCTGAGGAGAGGGATGCTCTGCAAACACAGTAACAATTGGAGGCTGTTGTCTGTTGGAAACGGATCTTTAAGTTCAGAAGCCTGATTTTAAGAACAGAGAATACCAATGCCTGCTGTGTTTTGTAATGGAAAACAAAACAATAAAAACCCCATGTGTCCTTTTTCTCTAATAAGATGGAGCGGCTAACGAGCTAGAGTCAGGCTTTGATTCATTTGTATTCCTAGGCGCTTTCCTCCTCCGTGTGATTCATGCAGCTGAAAGCGACAATTCAGATTAGAGGAGAGTGGCGTGATGGGAAGATCTGACCTGGCTGGATGTTTTAACGCACAAATGTAGACTCTTGAGAATCACAGCAATAAAAATGGCTGCAGATGTTCCCCCTCATCCTCAGCACAGATGGCACACAATCATTAGGTAATAAGGTCCTATTTTTCATTTCAACTTACAGAACTTAGGTCTAATTTTATTATTTTAAAAGTTCAGCTGCATGTATCTGGACCTGTGGTATTGGTTTCTTCTGATTTCTCTAAGGACGACATTCTGGTCTGACAGAATCACTCTTTATTTCCGGAGAATAAGACAAAGGATTTAACTTTGCCTTTTTAAATCTTTTTTTTTTTCCCCTGTTAATGAAATCAAAAATACTTTAATTTCTCAGATTTCTGCTCTGTCACATCTGCACTGAGGGAGTCAATAGTTGGCAGCAGGACTTGACTTCCAAAACTAGAATCTGCTCTCATTTAGGTCAGCTGCAAAATATTTAAGTCATGCAGCTTTTTAAGTAGTCTCCTGTTCTTATGGCCTACTTTAAAAGGGGGTTGGCTGATGTTAGTATGCTTGTCCCTATCCTGGGAAAGGCATTGTGCTTGAGGATCACTTATGAACCAGCATATAGCCAAAAGTAGCAATGGCATTTCTCCTGGCACCATAAGAGGAGAGGCAGAGCTGCACAGTAGGTGTTGGGTGGGATTGGGCAGGAATGCAGACCAGAAGGACTGCACACATATTTGCTTGTATAACCTTTGACTGAGGCGTGAAGTCCTGGTGGAGGAATTTCAAGTCGAGCAGCTGGGGAGCTGGATGCAGCTGTGTCACGCTTCAGTGTCTTCATTCTCCAGGGAGGCAATGGGGGGTGACACCTTAGAGAAAGAAGAAACCAAAACTGGTGCTTTATCAGTTTGGTTTATTTTAAGGGTGACAATAGTTTGCATTAATTCTAGCACCACAGCATGTTTTTTATTTCAGTTTGTAATATTTAGAAATCCCTTTTTTAAACGCTCTAGTTTAACAATAAATGCAGACTTTCCTTTTATCACAGAGTTCTAATATGGCTTTAAAAGTTGTTAATTGCTGTAGAGATGAACACTTTTACATTTATCTGGTTTTTCTGGGGGTGTTTCTCATTAAGGACTGTGTTACTTAAAAAATGTACTGCAGGTTCTTAGAGGTGTTGGTCCTTAATCAAACCTTTAAAAAATAACAAGACTCTTCTCCACTTAACTCGAAAATACTATCAGATAACATTAATTTACTGACAGAACAAACAGACTTGTAGTTTTTCTTTAGCTCATCTTTGGAAACATTTATAAAATATGCACTTTATATTAGCCTTGTCATTTGAGCAATGTTAAAGAAGTCCCTCAAGTGGAGTATTGTTTCAGTATTTAATGATCATCCAATGCAAATGTTTACATTCATATCCCTTTGACTGCCATCCCGGGAACTTTCTTTAAGACCGTTGTAAATCTGCAGTCATTCGGTTGCACAACAAATACAAGTTATTTAGCTTCCTGTCAGCTCTTGTTAGTTTAATTTGTCTCTGCAGGATGCAGTCTTTGCTCCAGAAAATTCCTACAGATATGCATCAGACTATGTTGAAAATAATTTCTTTGAACTGGAGCTCATTTTTGTCAGCAGTTTTTGTTTTGTTTTGTGGTGGGTTTTTTTTTTTATCCTTCATCAGCTGATGAGCCTTAATGATCCTCAGCTGATCTGACATCTGATTTAATCAGGCGTCTGTTTTGTGTTGGTTAGCAGAGATTCTTTTAGTTTTAGGAATTATGTATTCCATCAGTTTGGGTTTACCTTTGTGTTTCACAAGCAAGTCAGACATTAAACTGATAATATGATTAAAGAATGTGTATTTCTGCTTTTTTGTGTGTGAAACAGATTACCAGAGGCTGATGACTGTGGCGGAGAGCATCACGGCCCTCATGTTCCCCTTCCAGTGGCAGCATGTCTATGTTCCCATTCTGCCCGCTTCCCTCCTGCATTTCCTGGACGCTCCGGTGCCGTACCTGATGGGCCTACACTCAAACGGGCAGGATGACCGCACAAAGCTGGAGCTGCCACAGGAGGTGGGACAAATGCCCACACACACATACAGTCTGTGTAGTAAATGTTCTTTTCATTCTGTTGATGTTTAGAAGTAAAGTTTGTTTTCATTGAGTTGAACTAACTTAAGCAAACTGGGGACTCTTAAATGGACTTTTCTGGATTAACAACAGAACTACATTTCCTGTACTACTTCTAGGTCTTGATGTTTCTTCATCTAACTCCTCACCTGTCTAGGTTGTTAAGCTACTTTGAGGTGTTTGGTTACTGCAGATAATTAGACCCTGATCCCGTTTCTTTTTAACTCTCATGTCCCCACAGTATACCGCCATTTTTTAAGTCAGTCGGCTTAGTAGTGGTTTGGTTCTGCTTTTTTTTTCTTTTTTTTTTTGTCCACCTTGGTTGAAGACATAACCATAATATCAGATGTGGATTCAGTTAACAAGCAGAACCTTTTACCAAACAGCTTTTGGTATTTCCAGTTTTAACAGCACTAGTTTAATACCTTTAATTATTGTAAAGATGATACATTGTTTTTTTATGATATTTCTAACTTCGATTGTTGTTTTTTTTATCTCCCCCCCCCAGGCTAACTTGTGTTTCGTGGACATTGATAATCAGTTCATTGAACTGCCAGAGGAGCTGCCGCAGTTTCCCAACAAGCTGGAGTTCATCCAGGAGATCTCAGAGGTGCTCATGTCCTTTGGCGTGTCTCCAGAGGGAAACGTTCACTCCAGCAACAGCCAGGCCAGGTACACCTTCCGATCTGTCGACATGGTGTCCGACAACCGCAACGGCAACCTGGGGCTACCTCTCAGCTCTTACCCGCTGAGGGAGAACGAGACCATCGCCCGGCTACAGGCGCTGGTCAAGAGGACCGGGATCAGCCTGGGGAAGGTGAGGACTGATGAATTAGAGATGGTCAGCTCAGATGGTCATTTAACATGTAGGGAGAGTTCATTTTTAATGAAGGATCTTTGATCCAACAGTGTGACAGTCAGGGAACCTATTAGCTTACCAACATGGGAAATGTATATGGCTCAATATACGATATATCTGCCTTTCAAAGGGTTAGGATAACTCTGTTTGTTAAAATGGGTCATTGACAAATAAAAAGAACATTCACATTTTGCAGGCACAATTAACAACTCTCTATGTATTCTATGACATTACTTTAGACATAGTGACAAAAGTTTGTAGAACTTAAATCAGGTGGAATGAAGTTGGAAGAAAAAAGTCTCTATTGACTACTATCAACTATCTATCAATTACTGTTGACTCCACTAGGACAGAAATAATTAATTGATTTTGAAATAATTGTCATCTAATTTAGTAATAGATTGTTAACTGGAGTATAGAGACTGTAAAACAGGCATTTAGTGACAGAGCAACCCACTTAAAGCTGTAATCATGCCAAAATTGTAAAAGAAAAAAAAATTGTCTGCTCAATCCTGAACTCCTCAAGTGGAAAGTTTTAGGTTCACCTGGTTTAATGTAATAAAAAAAACATCTTTTCTAAGGAACCTTTGCTATCCGATTATTAATCGTTTCATTGGAAAAATAATCAACAGAATAGTTGATTTGCAAAATGATCGTTAGTTGCAGCCCTAGACTCTACAGATTACGGGAGAAAGCTCGACCCTCTATTGAACATCAACAGAACGACAACAACACTGCAGCTGTAGCAATGCCTGTTGCCTTCAATTCACATACATGATTTGAAGGAAAACATTTCATCACAATAATATCGTAAAGAAAATTGATTAACAAAGCAAGTCTTTTAAACGGACTGATTATGTTACTAAAGCTGGGTCACAGACTTCTTTTATAATTTCAGTGTCAGATATTTAATCTTGAACCTTTTGATGTTCGATGAATGATCAAAAAATAATCTACAAATTAATCGTTTACCAAAATAATCATTAATTGCAACACTAATCTCTGTGTGACATCTAATGCACTTATGTGTTAGCAGCAGCCATTAGCTCTGCCAGAATAGATTAGCCAATCATCTTTATATAGTTTGTCAGGTATGAGTTCCATCTGTTCTAATTCTTGCTAGACTCGCTACTAAGATCATTTAAAAATTAAATCAAATTAAAAAGAGTCATTTTGTGTTGTGAATAACTGTTTTATTCACTGCTCAGCCAGCTTGGACGCAATAATATGTTGTGATACTTTAAGATGTTTTTTGCCCAACCCGCTAGGGGAGGCAATATCTTATTTAATCAGATATTATTCGGATTGTCCTATATTGTTTATGAACACACGCCCTACTAGCTGTGTGTTAGAATAACAAATGAAAGCATAAATCGAGCTCAAATAATAATCAAAAAGATACTTCTGCACAAACATGGAATAAATTCACCACAACTTCTGTTCAAAATATAAGTTTATTAACAAAGATCATTCAGCTCCAAGTCAAACATATTTCAGTTAAAAAATCTTGACTGTAAACTAGTGAAACTCAACTAAACTGCTATGTAAAAAGAGGAAGGGAAACATAGTTGGAAAACATTCCACAGTTTAGTATGGATTTTTTTATGCGGCCCACACCAAGGAAATGGCTTTTCAGGAGACTTTCTCCTCCAGTCTGGCTGTGTAAGTTCTGAAACTCAGAGAAATGTGTTGCAAAATGTCTGTTTTAGAGACGGCTGTGGAGCCAGTTGGTTGAGAGGGGGTTGCAGAGCAGAAGAGAGGTCTCACAGCTGTTTTATGAGCAAAACCACACCCTCTTCTCCAGTGATCATGTTGAGATGAAACATGGACATTGCTTTTCAATGTCCAAAATGACTATCATGTTTATGGCACAACAGCTGACATTAATAAACCCAATGCAGCATATTTTGTCTGTTAGGAATCTTAATGGTGGTGCTGTTGCCTGTTTGTTTTAGCCTCCTTATTATTCTAGCATCTCTCATTTGGTGCTTTTATCAATGTTTCCTCAAAACAGTTGGAGGTGAGGGAGGATGCCAGCTGCAACAAAGATCCACGGGCTCAGTGTGACGAGGAAGAGCTAAAGATGCACCAGCTCAACATCCAGGTGCGTGAAGTCTTTGCCAACCGATTCACGCAGATGTTCGCCGACTACGAGGTGTTTGTCATCCAGCCGAGTCATGATAAAGAGTCCTGGTTCACCAACAGAGACCAGATGCAGAACTTCGACAAGGTATATTTTTCTTCTATGTCATGCAACAGAACAGAAGGGTGCATTTTTTTTCTCTTTAATGTGCAGTCTGCCTACTATTTAAAAAAAAAAACCATCCTGCTTGATTACCACTGTTTCGTGTTTGTGTGCAGGCCTCCTTCCTGTCTGATCAACCAGAGCCCTACCTGCCCTTCCTGTCACGTTTCCTTGAGACTCAGATGTTTGCCTCTTTCATCGATAGCAAAATTCTTTGTCACGATGATGAGGAAAAGGAGCACACGCTGAGGGTGTTCGATGGTCGCGTGGACAAGATCCGCATGCTGAACGTTCGCACACCGACGCTGCGGACCTCAATGTACCAAAAATGCACCAACATCGAAGAAGCTGGTAAGAAACGTAATGGTCAGTTTTAGGTTTGTGTGTCTGCATCGGGATAAGGCCACTTAATTCTAGATTGTTATTTTAGACAGTGTCAGATTTAAGAGATAGAAGTTATATAAATTATAAACGCTGTCTATTTTGCCGTCTGACTAGCGTTCATATTTGCTGTCATTCGCTGTCTTGTTTGCAGACGAGCCAATTAAAAAACGTTTTGAAAAAGCTGATTTTGTCGCTGCCGGACCGCAGGTTATTGGACTGAAGAAAAGCAAGACCAACGATCGTAATATTTGTTATTATTGCCTAAAACCTCCATGGGTGGCAGCTCTTTAACTGCGTATGCAATTTAATCGGTCGTAAACTTAGAGGATGCGTTGGGATCCTTTCTTTTTATGTAACAGAATAAACTCACCTTTTCATGTCTTCCACTTACAAAACCTGAAAGTTTGTGTTTACTTTAACACTATTACAGTTACAGATGTGGGATTTCTGCAAGGTCATGTCAGCAATGCACAGATTTAAAGAAAAGTTTGAATAAGATCTGCTTAAGGTTTAACAACTTTATAGATCTCCGTGTTTGATTGCATCTAACTTGTTGATGAATAACAAACTTTTTGTTTTCTTTTCAGGGATATTAATGTGTTTGCAGCCTCCACCTTTCTTTAGATTTCAAAGCTTTCATGCTGGGATCTTCCACCTTTTTATGTCACCTTATCCTCTTTCAAGTCCTTTAGATATTAAGAAACATCCTCATTGACATATATGTCTCTTTCCCTCATGGTTCCTTTAGTTTCATGCAGACCTAGTGTGGGTGTGCTGTTGATCAGCTGCCTTCTCTGCTTCCTTTGAGAACAAAGTTGATTCTCAGCCTTTTCTTCGGATGCTTCTTCTGGTTTTGTGGGCGTTTATTTTTTCAGATTCTTTTTGACAGATTTTCTTTGTTTAGATGCCAACTTGTTCTTATTTATGGCATTTCCGATTCTTTTTAACATGCATGAATACAATGAACATCAAATAATCTTTGATGGATAAATGGTGGGTAGAAAATAGCACAACCAGTTTAAATATCTTTATTGCAGCTTGGATAAATGCTACAGATTTCTTCCTGGGTGTAAGATGCTTGTAGGAATAAACACTTAATAAACCTAAATTTAGACTAAACTGTAGTAACATCAAGCATAGAAGTTTACAAAATGTATACTGATGTATGTTATTAGATACTGATCCATGCATATAGAGTACATGCTATTAGTCCATTGCAAGTAAAAAAAGATAAAAGCTGCATGTTTGATTGATGTGTGCAGAGAAAGCCATTGAGATGAGAGTGGCGAAGATCGACCATACCGCCCTGCATCCCCACCTGCTGGACATGAAGATCGGTCAGGGCCGCTACGAGCAGGGCTTCTTCCCCCGCCTGCAGTCAGACGTGCTCTCCACGGGACCAACCAGCAATAAGTAGATACCTTTATGGCGATAACTTCTCATTTGATGATTCTTGAAACTAACCGGATGTTTGTGCCGCAGATGGGCTAAGAGAAGCGCTCCTGCTCAGTGGAGGAGGCGAGACCGACAGAAGCAGCATGCGGAGCACCTTTATTTGGACAATGACCAGAGAGAGGTAGGAGCTTTTTGGTTTATTCACGCCGTCATTCTGCCTAAACTTTTGTTAAAACATCTCTGTTTATGCATGACCCTTTAATCTGCTTCATCTTGCATCTCTGTCCTTTTGTCCAGTATGGATTCCTTTCTCCTTTTTTATCTGTTCTTTTATTTTATTTTATAAATGTTTTTGTTTGTTTTTTGTCTCCGTCTCTCTGCCTTCCTTGCACTCGCGGTCTCACACACTCTCAGCATGTGGAGTGTTTGTTTCCGGAGCCGCAGCTCCTGCTCTTTCTTGACTACTACTGGCTCTCGCAGTCCTTCAGGCCCTGTCTGAAGTCGGTGTCTGTGGACCTGGTATGTGATGGTGGACCACAGACCAAATGTGAAAGTCAACACCCTCTGCCTCTTAACCTTCAGCTGCTGATCTTTATCTGATCCTTTTTGTTTAATTTCTATATTTTCTGTTTTTATTTTTATTGCATGAGCTGCTTTCTAGATTTGAAATGTCTTGTAACTTGAAGGCTTCCAAGTTTTGCAGCTTTACAGACGAAGCACATTAGATTTAAACACTTATTCCAGCCCCAAAACTCTCCTGGTATTTTCTGTACCTCCTTTTTTTTGAAGTTGTTAAACAGCTGGTTTTGAATTGATTTTCGTAACCATTGTGGATCTCTCCATCTAAGTGTTTCTTACTTGTTGCCTGAATGTTTTTTGTTTGTTTTGTTTTTTTAAATCAGAAATACATCCAGGAAGCCCGAAACCTGGGAACCACCATCAGACAACCGAAGCTGTCCAACCTGTCGCCCTCCGTCATCGCTCAGACCAACTGGAAGTTTGTTGAAGGGCTGTTGAAGGAGTGCAGGAACAAGGTTTGACATCTCGTTTTACCCGTCACTGTTCAACCACATGATTTATCATCTAATAAAATTTTGAACGCGTTGTTTTTTTTTTTTCCTGAAATCCCTCACAATAGAAACGGGACCAAATGAGCTTAGCATAAAAATTTAAGGTTTTAGAGCAATCAAGACACATTACGCCATTTAAAGGTCCTTCATACATTATGGACTTGTTGAAGAAATCCTACAGGAGACGCCCATCTTCTTGAAATTTTCATGGAATTCTATTGAATTAGAGATACTCGCCTTTCCAAGGAAGGTTTACAGCCTTGGAAAATAAATAACTTCATCCCTTCGGGATCAATAAAGCATTTTTTTAATTAAATGTTGATCCAGCTTTGTTTTTGTAAAATTCTGTGGGTTTTTTTATGTAGAATTTTCTGTAGAATTAGTTGAGTTCTCTGAGCTCACATGAGTGTTTTTCCTTTCTGCTCTCTCTGCAGACGAAGCGCATGCTTGTAGAGAAGATGGGTCGGGAGGCTGTAGAGTTGGGTCACGGCGAGGTCAGCATTACGGGCGTTGAGGAGAACACCCTGATCGCGAGTCTCTGTGATCTGCTGGAAAGAATCTGGAGTCACGGGCTGCAGATTAAACAGGTGTGGGGAAAAAAATGTTATTGTCACAATCGTTGAATACCAGGAGAGAACTGATTTAAAATGTGCGCCTTTAGGCTAAAGGGTGTTCTTTTTTCTTCTTCTAGGGTAAATCAGCCTTATGGTCCCACCTCCTGCATTATCAGGACAGCAAAGAGAAGAATGCCACTCCAGGCGGGTTGGGACCTCCAGGTAAATGCTCAATCTTATTCCTTTGAACAAATCCAATGGACTTACAGAAAGGTGTCACTTTTATAGCTGTCCTTACTTGTTTTGGCAGGCTTCATTCACGACACGGAGCGGAGGAAATCTGACGGCGGTGGATCAGCCATGCCCCCTCTGAGGATCTCACTGATTCAGGACATGAGGTGAAAAACCTTTTGTTAAATAGAAACCTCTAAACATGCATAGGCCTTTTAAACCACCGATCAGAGCAGTTTGGTAGAGGAATGCTGCCCCCTTGTGGTAGAATTTTAACCCGACGCGTAGCTGAAAAACAAGTGGAAGCTCAAGCAGTAGTTTGATTCTAATAATTTAGCAAATATACAAAGTTAATGATTTATACTTCAGATATTTGTCTGACTTGCTTGTGAAACTCAATGCAGAAAAATGTCCTCCTGCCTCTTAAAATGTGTCCAATGCCTGAAGTTCTGATTTTCACTTGAAATCAGTACATGTTAGGTCCTTATAGTATTTGCAGAGATCTTTATTTCCTTGCAGTTGAATAAATCCATCAAATAAAGGCTGCTTAAATCACTTTTGTAAATCCCTTATAAATTGTAATTTTAGACAAGAAATAATTCCAAAAAACATGAATACAACAGGTTCCATTTTTACTTTGCTGTTGTTTATTGTGAGGTGTGAACTTCCTAAAAAGATTAAGCTCTTTTCAAATCCATATGTAGTTAATCATAATATATGGTTGTAATTTGATTAAGATGGTAGACATACATAGTCCCATCAGCGAGCCCAAATAAGATTTTTATTTTTGCTTGAAATGATCACAATGAACTTGAGCTTTTCAGGGAGAAATTGAATAACATTGCTGTGAAATATCCAAGGTAGGACAAAGATGGAAAGGTTGACACGCATTTTAATCACTGATTTTCCCAGACAGACTAAATATGACAAGATCATTGTTTTTATGAACAGACCAATAATCTTTTCTGAGCCACTGGTAGCTCCTTTGTCAGGGTGAGTGACTGCAGACCTCACCGCCTGATCATTCATAAAAGCTGCCAGAGGTGGAGGGCGGGGTCTTACATGCAGGAGACACAGGGTGAGCGTGTGTGGAACAGCGAGTTACTTCCAGCCTAGTTACTCTGCCTGACCGAGTCTGACCGAGAATAATAAGTAAGGGGGGGGGGTCATCTCAGTGCACAGCCATGCAGCTCTACTATTATGTTATAAATGCATCCTTCTTCACCTTGGAGTGCATATCTGACTGCATTAGCATAAGCATCCCTAAATAACAGCAAATACTGCAGGGTTCAATGTTTCCATTTCAAAAGATTACTAGCAAGGTTTGGGTTTATAATGTTTTCCTCTGCTGCCATGGAGACGGGGAGCAGAGAAATGTGGGTTACTCGGCGTGAGACGGCGGGATTGGTGTGAAAGGTGGATGTGGCGTGCATACGGCACAGGTGGAGTGGAAGGGAATCTGTCTGGACATCAGAGACATGATAGTGGCTGGAAGCTATCTCAGAGGACCGGCTTTCACATTAAGGGAATTGCTGAGGTTGAAACGCAGGCTGCTGTTGTGAGGGGAATTGTTGTTCTCGGATTCACTGCAGGTCGTTTGGAGAAATTTAAATAAAGACACAACAGATTTTTATCAAGTTCTTTCTTTTATCCAGAATAAAAAACCTGTGAGCAGAAATGTGTGCATTTCTCACCAGTGGATCTGTGATTACACCTGCAGACACATCCAGAATATCGGTGAGATCAAGACTGATGTGGGCAAGGCCAGAGCCTGGGTCCGCCTCTCCATGGAGAAGAAGCTCCTTTCCAGACACTTGAAGCAGCTCTTGTCAGACCACGAGCTAACAAAGTGAGCAAAACGACCATCCTATATTGTTCATTACATGAAAAGCTGCATTAATGGCATCATACAGCTGGAAGGGAAACTTTCTGCCCCTCATTTTCACCTTTGATCTTTCCCTGTCTGTGCAGGAATGTATGTTTTAAGTTGGAAATGCAGATGCTGTCCTATAAAGCCATTTATAATACATCGCTTCTGGAACTGCACAGCTTCATATTGTAGTTCAGACTGCATGAATAATTTAAAACCTTCTTTATAATTAATATGTTGGTGACAAATGGAAAGGCAGACAGAAATTACCCTAACTATAGTGTTACCTTTCTCCTTAAACCTCAACATGTTGTGTTTATAGAAGGATTTTTTTTGTTTTTGTTTATTGAACTTTGTCAGGTGGAAAATGTTTCTGTTGCAACAAATAACACCAATTTAATTTATTTAGTCAATGCAAGGTTTTGTTTTTTGTTTTTTTTTCATTAATCTTTGTTGTTGCATTTCAGAAAACTGTACAAGCGTTACGCCTTCCTCAGATGTGACGATGAGAAGGAGCAGTTCCTCTACCACCTGTTATCCTTTAATGCCGTCGATTACTTTTGCTTCACCAACGTCTTCACTACGATCAGTAAGTGCTGCTTCCATATTTAACCTATTTGTATGGTGAAGGTTTGAGGCTCCAGGATAACATTTCCCTCCTCTCTGCCTGCAGTGATCCCTTACCATGTGGTGATTGTTCCCAGCAAAAAGCTAGGCGGCTCCATGTTCACAGCCAACCCCTGGGTGTGTGTTTCTGGGGAGCTGTCAGAAACTGGAGTTTTGCAAGTACCCAGAAACACTTTGGAGATCACTTTTGAGGTTGGTGTTAAAGAGATGATCCCCTATTAAACCAAACATTGGTCTTCTTTTTCTTAACACTGCAAAAAGAAAAGAAAAAAAGAAATCTAAATAAGTATTTTTTTCTTAAAATAAGTGCATTTTTTCTTGAATTTATGAGGTAAGTGAGACACTTCACCAATGGAAAAAGACGATTTACAATTAAAATATGAGAAAAAGTTTAATTGTCTTATTTTAATTGCATATTATCTAATTATCTTATTTTAAGAGTAAAAATACTAATTCCATTGGCAAATTATTTACCTGATCAAATTCAGAATGAATACACTTAATTTAAGGAATTTTTACTTATTTCTAAGTCGTTTTTGCAGTGTACCATACTTTTACTTTTCCTGAGGAGCGCTGTTCCTTAAATCAGGACACAGGTGTTTATTTTTTCCTTTTTAGTGTGAGTCTTATTCTTGTTTTTAAACTACCCACTGATACCCTGCAGCAAAGCTCTGCAAAGACAGTAATATATTTTAATTTCTCACATCAAAACTGTTTCATCAAAATTTTGTAATTAAGCCAATTATTATTCTTTTTTTTTTTTATTTATTTATGTTTTTGTACAACTCATCCGAGTTGGATCTTTAATAAAATTGAGATTTAATCTAGGCGCCAGTAGATCAGCTGTCCTTTGGTGTCTGCTTCTGTTTATATGCATGCAGAGCCTGATCATTCAGGCTGGATCCTAACGTAACCCTAGCTTAATATTACCACAGCAGCTGCAAAATAAAGCAGAAGACATTATGCATCCAGGGATGTATTGAGCCTGACTTTGAAACTGCTGAAACAAGACCTAACCCTAAATTACCATCGCATCCGACTCCGGTGTGCAGCAAAGCCCAGAGGAACTCCCAAGGAGCATAAATAAAAGCCAGTGATTAAAGTTAAAACTGCTGCAGATTTTGTATTGGTTTTTTCATATTTGCATTAATTATACTCCACAGTGGCTGAGTTCAGTGAATCCTGATATCCTACATGTGCTGCTCATTTTTTATTACCCAAGTTAAAGTTTTAAAAATAAAGATGTTGTGATTGTTGCTTCCTAGTTAGATTTCTGTAAATTGGACTGTACTTCGATGTCCAAAGTCCACTTTACCAGCTATCAATGCTGTCATTTATTATAACAGCGGAGCTGCAGAGTTCACAGCTGAGCGGTGTGGATGCAGTGAAAATTGGGGGAATATGACCCTGGGATGAGGTGGCAGTGACATCTTTCCCCACCTCACATTTCCCTGCCAACTCCGCTCTGCAACTACCTTCCTCACAAGCCTAACAGCTGCTACTATTAGCTGCTACTCAGAAGATTATTCTTAGAGATGGCGTCACGGATGCCATCATTGCTCTCTGTAAATGTGGTGATAATATGATGAAAGCATAGAAAGTGATAAAGACTTTATGCGTGATTTTAACATTAGTGGACTTGAAAATCGTGTTATTAAAAAGGAAAGCTTTGATGTTTTTATGAGTAATCTAGATTTTTTTTTTGGTGGCGCGGGGTTGTCATGTTTTCTGTTTTATTGGTGATTTTTGTATCATTTTTTTCCTTTAATATCAACGGGTTTCCCCTTTTGTCTTAGTGTCAGAACCTCGGAAAACTAACTACAGTGCAGATGGGCCACGATAACTCAGGACTGTACGCCAAGTGGCTTGTGGAGTGCGTCGTGGTCCGTAACGAGATCACTGGGCACACCTACAAGTAAGTAACCATTCACAGCCAAAAAACTAGGAACAGGTTGAAAAGATGATCTTCTTTGTAATCAGCACCCTGGGCTTGATGTTAGGTTTCCATGTGGCCGCTGGTTGGGGAAAGGCGTGGATGATGGAAGTCTGGAGAGAATACTTGTTGGGGAGCTGATGACCCCCACCACGGAGAACGACGAGAGGATGTGCCGCACACCACCTATGCAGCAATCTCCTGGGATGATGAGGAGATTTGTTACCATCTCACCAAGCAGCAAACCAAGTAAGTTAATCATCCTCATAACTCCTATTTGACCATTTATTAAACACTTGTTTTCTTCTGCTGAGTTGAATTAATCTGGTATTGTAAGCCACAGTGCCATATCCAATCTTCACATCCGCACCAGTTAAAGAAGAAAAAAAATAAATTGATGAAAAACAAAATGAAATGATGGCGATTGTGCTTTTTTTTTCTTTCTTTTTTTCCTCCCCTTTCAGAGTTAAACACAGGCCAGATCCAGGAGGGGGTGGGAGAGGCCATCAATGGGATTGTGAAGCACTTCCACAAACCGGAGAAGGAGGTGAGAGACGAGCAGTCTAGACAAGCCTGAACACGTAGTTCTATTATTTATCAGAAATGAAGAAAAACATGCCAGTCCCACAACGCCTTCAGTTACTCTGATATTTATTTAATTTTTTTTTTTAACTTCTTTTTGTTTACTACCTCAGTGATTCCAAAAATCCCCCACTAATAATTACAGTGTACTTGGGGAGGTTTAGTAAATATCTTCAATTAAAAGGAGATGTTACATGAGGATTATTGAGGAGCATCTTGATTATAGGGTTTATATCAACAAAGGACCTTTATGGATAAAGCCCCTTTATTCGTACTCCACCTTTTTCAGCAGAACAAAGCAGCTTGTTGAGAACTGAAAGTGTCTAAATCTTTCACTACATCCAGATTACTTCTGCAGTCATTTGTTGCATTTATGTTTCACCAAGTTGGATTTTTAGAAACCTTAAACACACCTCCTCGTGTAAAATATATGGTTTTATATTGCAATACATTGGGTCGTAATGAATTGACTTTTGAATTAAAGTGAAGGGGCATGCTTTGTTCTCTAAATCCTCTCCAACTTCATGCCCTTTGTGCCCTCCACAGAGGGGCAGCCTGACTCTGCTGCTGTGCGGGGAGTACGGTCTCGTCTGGGCTCTAGAGCAAGTTTTCCTGCACGGTTTCAAGTCCCCTCGACTTTTCAAGAACATCTTCATCTGGGACTTTTTGGGTAGGAACTTCAGCTTTCTAGAAACCTGCATCAAAAGGCTGTTATTAACGGAAACAAAATGAAAAAATTTGAAGCTGACAAAATGAGAAGAAAACGGCAGAGAAAAACAACAAAATGCATTTAAAATACATTCAATAAAACAAAACCTTACATTTGGGAAATAACCCCCTTCAGAAAATAATATGGTATTCAACATTTCAAAAATAAATGTTTTCTAAATTAACTTTAAATCGGGCTTCATATTTACTATTTTATTTTAAATTTTTATTTTATTAGGGGCTTTTAGTTTATATTTTTATAGTCTTTTAATTTTTGGTTTTATTTATTTGTGAAATGTTGCTATTGATTGTAAAAACATTTTCCTTACAAGTAATGGCAGCTGAGGTAAACTATAACATGTAATTTATTTACTGGTTTCAAAGCGTTTTTATAGGTTGTTGTTTTTTTAGTATATTGACCTGACCATGGCTTCATAGTCCAGTTAAAATACCATGAAGCTCTCCTCTGTCTACAATAAGTGTTTTAAAAATTTCTATTTTTTATAAGCATTTTTTTTGTCTGGTAATTTTCTATTAGATGCTATTTTGTTTTGATAATTTAACCATTCTCGCTGCAGCTGAATGATATTTGAAAAGGTCTGACTAAACCCCTCAAAGTAACAAATGAGTTAGGGTTTGTGTAAAACAGACTCTGCAAAACAATAGATTAAGCAACAGCTAAAAATGGGTTGGTTATATATCTGGATGTTTGTGCAGCGAGTAACGGTGTTTATATGTTTATCGTTGAACAGAGAAGGCTCAAGTATACTTTGAAAGTGCTGAACAACGGGAGGCGACTCCAGATGAAAACTGGCAAACCAGAGTGCGCCACTTCTGTCGATTCATGCGGGCCATCAACAGCACGTCGAGAAACATCGGCAAGGACGGAAAGTTCCAGATGCTCGTCTGTCTGGGAGCAAGGTGGGGCACTGGATGGAAACAAGAATGCTTGTTTCTTTTTCTGGCTTATTCAAAGGTGTTTCGTTGACTCTGTTTTTTCGTTTTTTTGAAGGGACCATTTGCTGCATCACTGGATCGCTCTGCTCGCAGATTGTCCAATCACCTCCCAGATGTACGAGGACGTTGCACTGATTAAGGACCGCTCACTGGTAAACTCCCTGATCCGAGTGCTGCAGACTCTGCAGGAGTTTAACATTACCCTGGAGGCTTCATTAATCAAAGGCGTTGGCATCTGAAACCAAACCACTGTCTTCATCAGTCGTACCCAAAAAGGAATATCACTGAGGACCACTAAGAAGAAAAAGGAATAAATGAACATTTTTTATGCAGGAGCAGACTTGAACAAAGAACACTTTCTGGCTTAATAAAGCTACTTTCACATTTGCCATATGTTAAGTGCAATGAGCCTTTCAAGATTTGTTATTTTTATCCTGGATGGTGATAACGATGCCATTAGATGTTAAAGAATTATGTTTTCTATTATGGACCATGGTTTTCACAATGAGGGTTGACCTTGTGCTCTAATGTTTTACTGAAAGCTCAATATTTTCATTGTTGCCGTGACTCGATGACAGCAGTTATATTTAAGGGAAAGCTAGGATTAAAACTGTTAATATATTTTGAGATAAAACAGTATTATTTTGTTAAATCAGTGACGTTGCTTGCTCTGTTGTCAAATCTGATTTTTAAATGTCATAATGCAGAGTTTAAAGCAAACGGTGTAGAAGTATGCTTTATAAGTATGCGTATGGCAGGGTGACTCATGGAGACATAAGGGAATTTAAGTTTGAGTCTTTCCCAGGCAAACATACATACATGTATGTATGCAAATTTCTACATGGAACGCCTTCACCTGAAGAAAAGGTCATCCTAGCATGATGAGACTATGCGGCTCTAGCCTGTGCCCAGTCACAAACGGTATGATCAACTGGATTCGGGAAGATCAAACCTAGTCTTGTGCTCTAAGAGATGCTTGACACTGTTATTTTTGCAAAGTGGTTCACAACTTCAGCCTTCAGTGTATATACCTCCCAGCAGCCCTTTCATATTACCATCATTGCAGCCCTTACACTACATGTACTCTGTTCTTCTAACTACAATCTGATGAAAGGAGTCGTTCCAGTGCTGACTTCTGACCTCCTAATAATTGTGTGAAGAGCTCAAAGGACTGTTTTTATTTCCACACCCTTGATCCTAATTTTTATTTTATTTTTGTCACCATGGTTTCTGGCTATGCAATACCCACAAGAGAAAGACTGCGATTTTACTGTTCTCTCCCCATCCACATAGAGATTAACTTTTAACTTGCAGAAAAAGAGTTTTGACCAACTTCTTTTTGTGTGCCAATGGCTTCTGGTATGACTGTGTTGTACTCATCTGTGTACGACCCATATGAGCATCTTGGGAGATATATATTTTTCTTTTCCAATACAGTTGTACATTTATCAACATACTTGTGTAGTGTTTACTAAGTGAGCAACCATGTACAGTGTAAAAAAAAATATTAAGAATAAAGCATCTGTAAAGTATTTTTCTGGAATTGTTTTCTTTAAGAAAGTACTTTACGTTTGGCGAATCTGCGGTTGCCCTTTGTGTTCAATTACTTACTTGGTGATTCTGTAGCTGCCTGCAAAGTTTCCTCAATAACAACTCATTTTGTTCATTGTAAGTTACAAAAAGGAAGAGCTTATTTCTTATTAGACTTATAAGTTTTGGTCTGAGAGAAATATGCTTGATAAACTGTTTGTGCTCGAGTAGCTATATACTGGAAATCTTTTTATCTACAATGAATGAAAAGAAAGAAGCAGAATAGTCACTGTGGCTCTGTGCGGAGAAAAAAATGTGTTTTTATGCACAACTATTTTTTGACATACAGCTGTTTTAACTATGTGCCAACATATCTACTTTTTTATTCATTTGTAAGTGTATTATAATTTGAAATGTGTGCTTAAGCTTTCTAAGAATTGGTTTTACGGGCCCTAAATGATTAAAACATAAAATATGAGGCTGCTTTGTTGAATTTTGGGGCTGTTTGAATCCAGCTATTTGCCGTAATTTAACTTAAGCGACCAAAATACTGCTAAATAAGTGTCTAGCAATAGCTAATTAGCACCTGTATCTTTGAATGTGACATCACTTGTAGCAATTTAACTTTAGAGGCGTTTATGAGCAGTTATACTATCCGGTTAATGTGCTTCCTCAGCTGTGAAAAGGTAAACAAAGTCGTTCGCGCCATGTCGGACTGCTGTTTTTCTTTGAACACTTGGACCAGGGGGATTATGGGACTTTGAGTTCATAACGGGGTCCTCCTCCAATCAGATGCCCGCGTATTTTTCCACTTATTCACTACGCCTCCCATCATTCATGTTATCTTGAGAGTGAGACGGGGCGGCGGTGATTGGTCGAGACTAGGTTCAAACCCAACGGTTACACTCCTAATATGGTCTGTATCCGCTCACCCTTTCATTCCAGCTTTTTATGCAAAGCACATTCTAATGACCAGCTGTATGCAGCAGTAGTAAGAGCATGCGCAGTGAGTGAAAAGAAGACGGCGAAGATTCAAAGTTTTTGTTCAGTAAGTACACTCTTATTTTCTTTTTACACGGTTTACACTAGTTTGACTTTAACAATTTTGTTATACTCTGACCGCGTGGTGACGTTGTAAGGTTCAGGTAACCTGACGTGTGTGTCCGGCGTGTTTGTGGCGTTAAATGTGGAAAGACTCCTGTCGACAATGGGATAACGTGGAAGTGAACGAGAGCGTGGCCTCGACGGCTAGCAGTTATGCTAACAGCTAACAACAATGAGCCATATTTGGCGCACTCGCAGGCGAAAAGTTTGAATTTAAAGGGGAAGAGGATGTCCACCTTAACTTTGCGATTCTTAATAAAGAGTAAAGCGCGCACACGAAGCGCGTCCAAATCGTAGCCGTTGTTCAGGTTATTTAATATCGCGGTAGCTTTTTGTCTTTGATTTCAGAAAGTGCAGCTGCCCGCTTTTTGTTTAGGGCAGCCGCTGCATATAGACCTGCCGCTTAACGACGTCTCGCTGCAGATACATCCACTGTCTCTAAACGTGGGGATTTAGCCGCTTCTTTTGTTTATGTGCACATTTGTGTCGAAAATTAACGCTCTTTTTTAATTACTGTAATCGCGCTCCAGTAGGATCCCGCTGACTACTTTTTAAGTTACGATCCTTGTTGAGACACGTGAGTTTTATTAACCCGATATAAAGTTCATATTTTTATAGCGTAAACTGATCTTATAACTGCGTATTACTGCCATTGTTTTGTGTTTTGGTTTAGTTTGACCGTAAATTCGGCGGTAAAGTAAAACTAAAGTGGCATTTTTTTAATTCTTAAAAAAAAGTGTTGTGTCTTTAGATATTTTTGAGCTTTTTAACCTTTAAAAGCTCACTTAAAGAAGTGTAATGTGTGCTCTAAGGATTCATGAATGGCTGAGAAATGTTTGCAGTTTATTTGTGTGTCTACGGACCGCCCCCTTCCCAATAGCAACTGTCTGCAGACATCTGAACTGACTTTAAAACTGCGAGCGCTGCAGCGATCACACGCCTCTTCTTTTTACCTTCCAGGTGTTTTCTTTCATTGGCACGCGCTCACCAACAGATTCAGGATGTTTGGCTTTCATAAGTCAAAGATCTACCGCAGTAATGAAGGCTGTTGCATTTGTAAAACCAAGTCCTCCAGCTCACGCTTCACGGACAGCAGCAGATATGAGGAGACCTTCAAGATGTGCTTTGGGTAAAACCTTTTATTCATTTTATATGATGGAATTGGAGCTCTATGATCATTTCCTACAGTTCACAGACCATTATCTGACTTTGTGTGTCGATTTAAGGCTGTCTGAAGATCGTGTTGGAGACATTTGCAATGCATGTGTGCTGCTGGTGAAGAGATGGAAGAAGCTGCCTCATGGCTCCAAGAAGAACTGGAATCATGTAAGTGAAATGTCTTCTGCTTAGTCCATGATGTGGTAACGCTGTTCTGTGTTTTCAGGCATGAGTTTAAGTTTTGTTGCTGGATTAAATTGCTTCTCTTCAGGTGGTGGATGCCAGAGCTGGTCCGGGTTTTAAGGTGACAAAGCCCAAGAAGATAAAAAACAGTGATGGAAAGAAAAAGAGCAAGCTGAAGAAGCTTCATAAGTTTAAGAGACAAAGTGAGTGGTTAAAACATGGATACTACCATTTGAAGATTTATTTATTTATTTCAGACATACAAGTATATAATTAGGACAGTATATGTCCATATAACCTAAACAGTCTAAAAAAGGGTGTATTGGCAGAATCCAATGCCCACCCTCCAAAGCCAATTTACATTGGACTAAAAAGCAAAAGATAAAAATATGGCTACCGTTTATAATGCATACCAGTGTATGATTTTAGGAAAAATTATTATTCTACAATAATATTTTTTATGAAAAAGAGAGAAAAATCCTGGACTTTTATTTGCATTTTGGGAAGAATAAATGTTCAAAATTATTGTTTAATTGTTTCCTTATAGCTCTGATGCTCCTTTTGATAATTCTCCAATATTTGCTTCTATGCTTTGCAGGATATGCTACCTGTTAAACATTTTTTACATTCAGGAAAAAAAATCAGAAATGGTAATTTTAGAGTTCTGTAGAATTGTTTTAAAAGCTATGTACATTTCCTGACAAAACAATTTGCCAAATCAGTGCTTTTTAAGGTTTAATTTGGATCTCCTCAGACTTTAAGAGTAATCTCTAGCAGCATCTAGTGGCTAATATTGATATCTCATGAAATATATCTAGTTTTTGGTGTTTCCAATTCAGTCGCCATGTACTTGTTACCTTGTGGAGACAAGTACATGGGGACCAGTGGTCCCAATGCATAGTTCTCTTTTTGTGTTGATGGGATTAGACTACGGTGTGCATTTAGGTTTAGTTTAGGCTCAAATATGTGTTGTTAATGGTTTGGGTTAGGCTAAAGAAATTAATGGAATTCAATTGAAATCCTCTGTTAGGATAGTAGGACAAATGTATAAATGTAAATTTTTTTTAAATACATAATTATAAAATGAAAAGGTCGCAAAGTGACGGGTCTAATCATAATAGTTATTAATTTTTTTTTCTTCCCCAAAATAATTATTTCTCTAGTTGTTCATTAAAAATGTTTTTATTTGTGTTTTACATTTTTAAGCAGACTCTGATGCTCACAGCACGACCTCCAGCATGTCTCCTGCCCAGTCTCCCAGTCACAGCAACCAGTCAGATGATGGTTCAGACATCGAATCCAAACAAAGACGTTCATCTCCTTCAATCTTTTCCTTCCTGGATCGTTCTTACTGGAAGAGGTAAGACTTCTTACAACCCTTTTTATTTAAAAAAAAAAAAAATATATATATATATATATATATATATATATATATATAAAATCTGAATAGTCAAAATAAAAGCAAACAAATCTTTTATCTTCCTTCATTAAGACAAAAGGTGTGCTGTGGAATTATCTACAAAGGTCGGTTTGGAGAAGTGATTATTGATCCCCGACTTTTCAAGCCTTGCTGCAGCTCAAAAAAACCGAAGACACCATCACAGGTGCCCACACTCCAGCCGCAGCTCCCAGAGGATTTGAAAGAAACTTGGTGAATTGTTTAGTCAGACCTCCCTCTCATTTATGGGGCTATCCATGGCATCCCCCTGGATTTGTCTCCAGTGGCAGACCTCATTTTCATTCCCCCTTAGATCAGTTAATGTCCTCCTTTGCTATATTCATTTTGTATGTTTTTTTTGTTTTTTTTTTT